TCAGTCTGAATCAGGGAATAGGGGACTTCTCCAAAGGGCTCTGCAACTCTAGGCCACATAATCTCCTGATCAGGGAGATTAATGAGACCAGTGGAGGACAGAAAGCCAATCAGTGCATTTGCTGTGAAGAGGAGGGTCATCAGAAAAGGGAGACATCCCTGATGCTTCCGAGGGAAGCCACATGGTCAAGCAAGGCCTGGACCCATCCTAGTGCAAATGGCACTAGCAGAACTGAGAAGCTGCTGTGAAGTTCCCGAGAACTCCCAGGGTAACTCAGCTGACTGTTAACAATAGATAGAAACAAAAGTCAGTTTGACTTGCTTCATCTTAAACACTTAGCAAAGACAGTCAAAGCCAAAACACAGCTATTCCTGGACATTTTAAATAATAATAATAGTTAAATGTAACTTCCAAAAATAAGTAAACTGGAGGCTACAAAAGAGATTCTCAGACAGGAATGCCTGATAACTATCAAAAGGAACTGCCAGAGTAGTTTTTAGTTTAAGGCATTTATTTCTAACCTACACAGGTAGGCTTAATGTTTGCTAGTATGGTTATCCAGCCCTAAGTAACAGAATTAGATTTCTCTATTAGACACAGGTCATACTAGTAAAAGGATTTTGCAAGATCAAATGACATTAAATTATTAAACTGTACCTTAAGGAAAGGACATCTGTAACCCTAAAAGTTAAATGTTGTGTTTACATCCCTGACATTTCTGGCAATGTGACAAATATCCTTAAAGATTTACATGCTCAGATAGAAGCCATGTCTCAGCAACCTTGTCATGGAAACAATATCTTAGCTCCTGGTTCTTGGTACTTCCTGGTGGAAAACATTGTTAGTCTTTGTCTTTGCCATCATACTCATTGGCATATTCCTGTGCTATGGGATTTATTGCTACATCAATATGGTTCCAGTACTAATGAATTCTTTTTTCTCTTATAGACCACCCATCACTCAGATGGCCTTCCAGTCTATTACTTCTCAGTCAGACTTCTATCATGGACCACTCGATAGACCCGATTTTTAAAGGGGGACTCTAAACTGCTTGCCCCCCACACTGTCCCTTTTCAGCCTGAAGAAGCCAGAAAGATCTTTGCCCCCCTTCCTTACAGCAGTAAGGAGTTCCCAAATTAGAGGGGGAATGAAGCCAGATTTAAAGTTAAGTAGTCAGTGTAGTTAGGTAAATCGGGTCTAATATCGAGTAAGATCTAAAATGGAGGCCATGTTGAGAATGAATTCCAGAAACGCAGGACAACTCATGGAATGTTAATGAAGTCCCGAAAAGGCCCTAGGCCAAAGTCCATCCCAAAGAAGTGATAATGAAGTCCTTCCTGACCAGATTACTTCTTTGGCCCACCTGTGTCCCACCCCTCGGGCCTTCCAACTTACATTCCATCACCAAAACTATAAAAAGGGGAAACAACCGCACTTCCCCGGATTCCACCTCTTGGGTCCCCTTCTTCCTCCGGGAGAAGTCTTTTCTGCTGTCCTTTAATAAACTTCTAATTTCTACTCTGGACCTTGCCTTGGTGTGCTTCTTTGGTGTTATTCTTCAACATTGGGGAAGCAAGAACTCATCACCGGTCAACAGCGGTAACAGAATGAGATGGACATCATTACCCTAAGTCCATGATGAAGACACAAATGGTGTGACTCTACTTTGTGTACCACCAGAGACATGAAAAATTGTGCCCAATATGTGTACTATGAAATGAAATGTATTCTGCTGCCATATATAACAAATTAGAATAAATAGATAGATAAAGAAAGAAGTACTGATATGAACAATTATGGTGTATTCACAGCAGTATCCAGGACTCTCCACAGCATGATGGTAGCTTGTGTTTGTGATGTGATTTCCCACCACTCTCTTATACTTGCTCCTATTGCTTTTAAATTATAATTATTTGTGCATATTAATTGTACAGAATAACCTTTTTCATTGTGTCAATTTCATGCATGCATAAAATGAACTTCAATCATATCCAACTTCCTAAGCACCATTTTTTAACCCTCCATTCCCCCTCGTCCTCTTTTTCTTCCCCAACAGATTCCATTCCACTTTCATATGAGAGAAAATCTTGGAATGATTCTTATGGTAGGATAAATATCTGTTGCAGAATCTAATAGCATGACTGAACAGGGAAAATGTTCATTCAGAATAAAGTATGTACACCAGAGCTCACTTTGGCTAGAAATGTTAATTAGTAGACAGGGACTGACATAGAATGTAGAGTAGACGAACTCCAGAAAAATTAGCCCAGAAAAATAATCAATTATTTCTTAAAAACACAGAAGAAACTCTGGAAAATAGCTCATTGTTTTCTCTAAACTAGGGTCCTGATAAAACGGGAAATAAGAATTAATGGAAAAACCACCCTCACCATGCAGACGGTATTCAGAAGATACAGAGAATGGTTCTCATTCCACTGAAGTTTGTGGGAGAGTGGAAGCGTTTTCCTAAGTAAGGATAATAATTGAGGCCTTTTTAACACAGTGAATAGGTACAGCAATCAGTATTCCTCTTCTGGTCTTTTCCATTACTCTTCAGTCTTGTTAGGAATGTGAGAGGTAAGAAATGCCCACAGCAAGACTAACAGGAGACAGGTCTGTGCTTGGGGCTGTGCATGCAGCTGTGAATAATAAACATCTGATTCCTGCTCTTCTGAAGTCTCTATGCAGTGGGAAAGCGAAATCGCACACTGGCTGGTGTGTGAGGGAAATCTCGGGCTGTATGGGAGCATGAAGCATGAGGGCATGGCCAGATGGACAAGCCTCTAGGCTAAGATCTGCCTGACCAAAAGAAAACCTTAAGAATATATGCACACCCATCAGAATTGACACGGAGTCCTTTCCCACCTGTCCATCACTTGGACTAATCCAGGTCAGAAGATGCGGATGACTACAGTGGGCCTGGAATCTGTGCCCACTCCTGCTGCTGGTGTGGGTCGACCCTTCCAAACCAAGTGGACTCTTGGTATTGAGGTCGGTGATCCCAAAGGAAAACTGATGGCGCTTTGAACAAAGTAATAAATTATGAGAGAGAAAACCAAAACATACCTAAGTCCTGTACCCATCGTGACTGGGCAAAAATATATGATTTAAGGAAAAGCAGAAGAATAAGCCCCCAAATTAGACAAACTAGATTCAGTGTCTATCTACTTGTTCTCCTAATTTTTCCATACTTAGAAATGTAAAATTATAGAAATAAACCTCTCAGGAATCATGGATTATCTCTACCATAAGCAGCTGATTAATTTTTATGTATTCAGGAAAATCTGTTGAATATTGAAGAAACAATTGACTATGAACTTAAAAAGAGAGTCAAAACCTCCTCTCTGTAAGACAGAGAAGGAAACACAGGGCTCTGACTCCTCCGAGAGAGAGGGTGGAGGGACAGGTTGGGTATTGTCTTTGTCACTCAGGCAACCTCTGAGCCCAGCATTATCCATCCATTCATCCACCCTAACATCCCTCCCAGAATAATGGTTCTGGAGTTGAATTGCCTGGGTCTCAACTCTTCTCTGTGCAAAGCTGGATGACCTGAGAGAAGACTAACCACATGCTGAGGCAAGCAGAAAATCAGACAACTGTATCTTCTGGAGGTTAGATGATAGTTAATCAAAATTTAAGAGTGAACGTGAGAATGATCAGAACTTTGTGGAACGTCGTTTCATCTATTTATCCAGACAAATTTCTGTATAAATTGTAAATCTTTCATGAAGGATAAATTTCACAATTTTTCACTGCTGTGGGATTCAGACAATCTTCTGCTTATTGCCTCTGGAGCTTCAGAGAAGTTATTTAACATTCCCAAGGGTCAGTTTTCTGATCCATGAAATGGGGATGATGATAGCAGCTACCCCAAGGGTCTGTTGGATAATGTGATAATGCATTGAAACACTTCACACAGTGCTGGGGACACATTCACTGGTTGTTTTAGTCAGCTTTTATTTGTTTGTTTGTTTGTTTATTTATTTTCTGTTGTGACTGAAAGACCTGACCAGAACAATTTCAAAGGCAGAAAAGATAATTTGGAGACTCATGGTTTCAGAGGCCTCAGTCCATGGACAGCTGGCTCCATTCCTTGGGGCTCAAGGTGAGGCCGAACATCATGGAGGAAGAGTTTGGCAGAGGGAACTGTCTCTCATGATGATCAGGAAGCACAGAGAGACACTCCACTTGCCAGATTCAAAATATATACTCCAAATCCACGTCCCAGTGCCCACCTCCTCCAGCCACATTCTACCCACCTCAGTTACCACTCGGTTAATCCCCCTCAGGGGATCAATTCACTGACTGGGTTAAGAGGCCCATAATCCAATTATTTCCTCTCTGACCCTTTTTGCATTTTCTCACCTGTGAGATTTTGGGAGACACCTCACACCCAAACCACAACTGGCCATGTGTCAGGGGCCACTACTGTTCTTTCACTTAACAAGTCTTTCATGAGCACCTTTCATATGCAAAGCACTGGGCAGAGGACCCTACGGAAATGCAGGGAAGGTATCCTAGACCTGAGGAAGTGAGCTGAGGGGATTCAGAGGAGACTTTCTCTGGGTTAGTTCTCCTCTACTCTCAGCAGAGTTTATGAAATGATTTATGAAACAAACAAAAACATGCTTGAGAAAATGGGTAGGCAAACCAAACACACATTAATCCTGGAGGCAAATCTCTAATTAGAAGCCTTCCTAACCAAAGAGTTAGGATAGGTCAGACTGACATTAAGGAAAGCTCTGCGGGTGCTGGGTTGTGGGTTAACTGAGGATTTGTTCTGCTATCCCCGGGGCATCTTGTTTCAGAGTGAAGACAACTATGTCTGTGGGCTTCACCATCAAGACAGTGCCTTGATTCCTGGGTAATCAGAGGAGTCAGAGACCTGTTTTATGCTAAGAACAAAAGGGAATGTGGCAGAGATTGCTAATGTGACATTTGTCTTTGGTAGAAAATAAAAAGTATCATAAGATTAACTAACTCAGAAGACCAAACACCAATAGCTCTGTACCATTTATTAGAGTGGACGCCATTTTTCTTTGGGTTAGTTATACCTGAGAATCCATCCAGAGGTGGGAGAAATAAGTGTAGGCTGGGTTCAGATAACAGCAATAATCCTTACTGAGACCACGTCGGGGAGCAACTTTGATATTCTCTAAATGTCTTTCTACAAGAACGGAAGGCTAACCTCATGGGGGGTCGACACCAACGTGTGATTCAGTGCTCGGAATGTCCACACTACACTGGATTGACAGACCACTGTGTGACAGCAAGAAAGCAAAGTCCACCCCTACATTTGCAGAATGTGATTGTGCACAAACATGGCCACAATTATCCAGTAGGAGCCAGTAGGAAGGCATTGAACCAAGCAGCTTAGAACTCTCAGCACGCCACCACCTGTCTCTCTTGCTATTAGAAAGCTTCTCAAAGCACAAAGAATTGGGGCCTTGGTTGGGGACAGCAGGTTTGAAGGCACGATATCAGGTTCTCATGGGAACCCCTGGTCTTTGGAACTACTGGTGGAAAATAGATGCCTCAGGATGGCAAGGGGGAACCCTCTGCTGGAGCTGATGGTTAAGTGAGGCTGCTGCTGAGCATGGAAATAGGAGGAAAAAACAAACCAAAGAATAGAAAAAACAAAAACACAGGTACATTCCTGAGGAAGCTGGTTCAGCTTTGGCTTCTGACCTTGACCACCATCTGGAAGGCAGGCTGGGAAGCAGGACCCTCTGTAAGACACTGGGAGATTCCAGCCACACGGTGGTTCTGGGGTTGGTGGAGTGACAGTTCCTCGTGTCCCTCCTGGCTGCTACATGCCCTTTACCTCCTGGTGCCACTGTATATGCTCATGGGGTTTTCCTGCCAACAGGGCAGGCAGGCCAGGCTATCAGCCACTTCCTGCTGGACAGGCCAGCCCCAGGCCTCAAAGAAAGGAACCAGGTTCTTCTGCACTGTTTCAGAGAACTTCTTCACCCACAGATTCATCTTGCTCACGTTGTCTTTGGGGAGGCCAGAGAAGGTCTGGTACGCAGCAAAGAGCTGGGTGAAGGGCTCCCAGCCGAAGGCCTCTTGGAGCTGGAAGAGAAAGAAGGGCAGGTGGGGTCAGGTTCACCAGGGAACTGCAGCTCGGGGGCTGCCAGGTCCATCTCACAGCCATTGGTCCCCTTCATTGTCGGTGTCCCTCCTATGGCTTCCCCTCCCCACTCTGCCCCCACACAGAAACACAGCCTGTGAGTCCATTCTGCTTCTCAGCCAAGAAACTGTACCCCATGAACCTAGTGGAGGGGCTCAGGGGAAACTTAGTATGTGTAAAGTGGTGAATATTCAGTAAGCGACAGTAACCGTCATTATTTTTGATAAAGAATTTAATGTCCCAGGTCTTCATATCTGGATAGATGGATCTAGACTGAGATGAGGGAGACTATTGCATCCTACACAGTTGGAGGCCTGGGACCCCAAAAGCGGGTGACCTCCAACACGTTCCAGACGTGGTGATCATCCTTATTTTTTAATCAGCCACCTCGGGACTGTGACTATAGCCAGGTACCATAGTACTGTGTGCAACACTGTCTTTGGGACACAAAAGGAAATATTTAGGCATTTTGCAAGGGGCTCCAAATGAGAGTGACTCCTATTTTATAGAGGGGTGAAGATGACAGAAATTTGGAATTAGCAGGGATCTGGGAGTTTCCCAGTGCCACCCCCATTTGATGGATGGGAATTCTCTGAATCTGGAGTGTACAAGTCCAAGGACAGATGACCCTCGAGTGGGGCCTCTCTCACAGTCTCCCTCCTGTGGCCTCATGATTGCTCCTCTGTTCTTGCTGCACTGGCCTGACAGTCCTCCTGCCTGTGGCTTATTAATTGATGCATCAATCAATACAACAGGATTAAACATATAACACTTGTGAGGTATCTATGGTGTGCCAGACATTGTGACAGGAAAAAGTGGTGGAGAGCTCATATCCCACTAGAGGGCACAGATCAGTGGGACAGACGGTTATTGGCAGTGGCTCTGACAGCTTGAAAACATCAAATCTAAAAGCAGGGTTTGGGGATGGGGGACAGGGACCTCTGCTTATGCCATAGAAAACAGATTTGCTCAGTGACTTTGCTCTTCTCCTACGGATTTGACTGGTTATTTATATATTTAAAAATGATTTTGGCTCCAGTGAGTGAAGGAAGACTGAGAAGCTTGTTAGCATCTCTTTCTCCTCCAAAGTCTCCTTGTGATGCAGGTAGGTACCCTGTCAAGAGCCCCTGCTGTCTAAGGGATGGACACTCACTGGACCCATACAACTGAGGAGAGGAAAACCAGCACAACAAACACCTTGGTGAACATCTGTTAGGGGACCATGGACAGAACTCGTGGGTAGAAAAGCTGTGATCCAGTCTCAGGAAAAGTCTAACCCAGAGCTTCTGCTATTAACCAAGATGCTGTATAATGGAGATAAATCGGCTGCTGACCCTGCCAGGATACATTTCCTTTCCTCTTATGCGTGACAACAGAGGTCACTCTCTCACCGCACAGGGTACAGCCTGAGAAGCACCACCGTCCAGGACGGGTGGGGTCAGGAGGAGTCGGAGAACTCCTGGGAGCCTGGAAGCTCTAAGAGTGAGGAGTCAGGAAGCTCCAAATCCCTGAATTTCTGCTCAGTACCTGTAGATATGTTTCCAGAGCTGTCCACACATTCCAGTCACTCAGCGGGGCTCCCTTTCCCACATGTGCCTTGATTCTCTTCTCTCGTTCTGCGGGGTTCAGAGCAGGGTGGGCCCGAGCCCTGGGGATCCCCAGGACTGTCTCATGCACATAGACTGACCAGAGGTTGCAGGTGGCCTCGGTGGTGTGGGGAGGGAACTCCCACCCAGGTCGCTGCTGGTTGTGGCCCAGCTCGTGGATGGCTCCCCACAGACCTGTGCTTCTGATGACTGTCTCATCAATGAGCTCCTTCACGGACTCCAGGTGGCACATGATGGGGTACCCTGAGTGCATCCAGCCTGGGAATATAGAAGAAAGAGACGGAGCATGACCGTGAGGTCCACGCCACCCTCCTCTCTTCACTTCTGCACACGATGGAACTTTCTGGTGCTGGTTGGGAATTAGATAGCTTTTCTAAAGTCTGTGCTCCCCTTCCCAGCCTCTCCCACCCTCCGCTTTGCCCTTCTCCTAGCTCTGGTCCTGAGTAGTAGGGATATATTTTACACAATTGTCCTTGGTAGAACTCAATGCTTCATATTTTGTGCAACTATATAACATCATGTCCTGTGTCTGGCTGGATCGGAGATCCTGGAGGCTAAGTCAGTGTCGGCTTTTCTTCCCCTGTGTAAAAAAAACTGGTGTCCAGATTTTTACTCTATGATAGAAATAGTGTCATCCTTTTTAAAAGATAAAAATATTGAAATCCAAATAAATTCTCTCCATGTGGGAAACAGAATGTCTAAAAATTTCTCCTTCTGGTCCTCTTTGCTCTAAACCATTCAATACGTAATACAAACCCCTTCACTCATTTCCCCTCTTCATGTGAATTCTCACTTAGGTTTGAAAAAAAAAAGATCATTGCGCATGTTCTCCTTGAAATGACCCTCACCGACACCTGGGAGCTCCTAGCACTAAGTTTCTGACGTTGTTCTACCAATCTGTGTCATCTCACCTTGTAAGATGTCCATTTCCCTTTTTTTAAAAGTCAACATTTTTCATCCCCATCAAGGTCTGGGTCTTTTATGTGTTCGTCCCTTTTAGTTTACTAATCGATTTATACTTTCCACATCTTGGGGATTAGAGACAAAATAACAAACAAATGATGTCCACTGACCTGGCACTTTCTCCCAGGACACTCACCAGCTGAGATCTGCACGTCAGCCACAATCCTCTCAGGTCTGCGGAAAGGGAAAGGCTGGGCCGCCAGCCGGGATACAGACTGCATCATCTCATCCCAGAGGTGGAGGGCAGGCGCGGGGTCCCCCAGGGCCTGGAGGTTTGCAGTGGGCACTGTCAGGATGATGTTGTCTGTGGCCAGCTCTCCCCAGGGAGCCGGGTTCTCCTGGACACAGCTCCTCCACTCCTCCAGGGATGTCTTACCTGGGAACACATAACATGTACCTGCCACCCTCCACCCCAACTTCCCTTGGAGGTGAAAAATACAACTTGAACTCCTGGAGAAAAACACTGAGATAATGAACCACTGTCATGAAGGCCAACAGCCTTCATGAAGGGGAAGGACCAGCTTCCAGACCCTCTCTGTTTCTGCCCTGAAGTCTCCGTGGACACACAGGTGGGCGGTATCTACAGTCTCCATGTTTACCTCTAATAGTTCTCCCTCCTTCTCTCCACTGACCTTCCTCCCTCGCCCCTCCAGCAACCTGCCCATAGTCACCATGGCACCCACAGCAACCATTCTTCCCCAAATGCCCAGCCCACTTACCCAGCTTGTAGTACGGGGCAGGCACAGCCCCCTTGATGGTGACAGACACAGGGCCAAGTTGGCTGCCCTTGGGAACGATGACATAGAGGAGGCCACCCCAGAGGCAGGAGACTGACCGTTGGGTCCTGTCCATGCAGCACTGGTGAGTCACCACAGGGGCTCGGGAGAGCTTCTTAGCCTTGCTCAGGTCATCCGTGTGGCAGCCAACCTGAACCTGGACAGGCAAGTCCACCATGTGTGAGGGGGAACTAGAGTTCCTATGACACAGGTGTGGGGCTGCCCAAGGGGCTGTGTGGACAGAAGCTGTTAGACACCAATCTCTGACTTCCCTTTTCCATGAGTGATGCATGAAAACCTGTGAAATTGTTATCACTCCAAAGCCATAGGAACTAAAAGATAAGTATAATAAATTTTTCAGGTTCCATAGTAGATTTCCATCAGACCTGAGTATGTGAGGCATCAGACATAGCCCCAAGGCTGGGTGGAGAAGGGGCTTTTGGTGTCCTCTGACCAGGCAGGGTCCTAAGCAGCATGGAGATTCTGATGCGGGAATGAACCCTGGGATCCTACTCTGTCCCTTGGAAGCAGAGAGGAGGCTCAGTTGGAAGTGGAGAAATCTGGCCTGGGGTTGGGGGTGGGGTGCAAAGGATCGTTCCTCTCTTTTTTGTGCAAAGCTCTGCTTCTTGCTTGGTCTGGACGCCTTGGTTGCTTTTCTTAGGATTGATGGAAGTGAACTCCAGAGAGGACACTGACAAAAAAGAGACCCTCACTGTGGTGGGAAGTGACTCAGATGAGAGGCAGAATTTAAACTTGGAATGTAGGGCCTATATTTGTGGATGACTGGATCAAGCCAATTCTTTTGGTGGTCAAGGTAGACAGGTAAAATTGAGAGAGGCCTGTATTATCTGGGAAATGGGTGAGTGGCAATGTGATATAGGTGCTTCTCCTCCTCCACATGCTCGTTTTCCAGTAAGTTAATCACGTGTAGAAAGCAGAAGGCTGAGTGGTGAGCTCCAGACTTGATATTAGCAGCAGGGACCTCAGTCACTCCTGTAGGCTCCCTGAAATCTGGCTGTTTCATCTGTGAAATCTAAGAGGGGCAAAACAGTCCTTCCCTGTGCAGTTCCGGGAACTGAATCAAGAGAGAGGGTGAGGAGGAGGCAATTGGGGAGGTGCTGATGTGGGGGTCCCTACCTTCAGGCCAGCAGAGGCTGCAGCCGCAGGCAGGGAGATTTCTGCATTTTGTCCTTCCAGGAGGTAGAGCCCGGTGCTCACCCAGGAGTCCTCATGGCCTGACAAGTGAAAGAGGAGGCTGAGTTGTTTGTTCCACAGGACTCCAACTTTACCTGCAGCCTCCCAGCCTCTCTATGGGTCCAGTTCTCCCAGGATGATTCACCTCTCCCAAGGCTTAATGAAACCCCTAACTCCTGTCTTCTTGCAAGTACCTGATAAAGCACAGAGCCAGCTTTCCTGAGGTTCAGGACCTGCAAGGTCCCGTGAAGCGAGCCCAGCCCACCTGCCCCCTGGTCTAGGATGCCCTGGCCCTCTCTGTCCACACCATACCTGGGTTAGTCCCATTGATCTCCACAGTGATGGGGTCTGCTGAAGCCTGCATCCTGGAGGGGCAGGTCTGTGTGCCGAGGCCCTGAGCCAGTTGGGAGCAGTCGGTCCCAGAGTGTGCCAACTCTGTGGCCAGACAGAGCATGGTGGCCTCACAGGAGTCACGGGCAACCGGCTTTTCCTTGCTCACAGCTGGGAGGCCTGCCTGTTGCAGCGTCTTCCTCAGGAGCCGGTGTAAGGAGGCATAAGTAGGAACCCCCTGGGCAGGAATCTGGAGGAAGGCTGCCCCATCTACTCCCAGCTTTGCCAAGTGGCTCTTTTCCAGGTTCTCAGTACCGTGGTTCAACACAGTCCGGAACTCGGACATTGCCTTACGGAAGTGGTAGCTCCTCATCTCAGGAGTGGGGACAGGGAAACAGCCTGGGCTGAGAGTCCGAGGCAGGATACTGAGGCCAAAGCAGTTGAGGATGACATTGCCAGGGAAAGCAGCCAAGGCAGAGCGGCCTGGGTTCTGGGAGGCCCACCACCAGGCCTGACCTCCGATCAGCAGTCCCCCACCCTCGGCCACAAACTCCTGGAGCTCCTTGGCCTCTTTGTCACTGTAAGCCTTGCAGCAGTACACACATAAGTCACTGGTCAGATGGGACTCCAACCTGCACTGCAGGCCGTGCTTCAATAGTAGGGCATGCAGATCTTTTAGACTTGGGTTCACCCCAATTTTGCCCTTCTGGTCTCTGGCCAGCCAGCGCACAGCATTGAGCAGAAAAAGCTCCATCTTGGGAGTGCAGAGCATGCCCTCATGGGCAGCCACAACCACCCGGCCACGGCCATAGTGGGCAGCTGCCAGGAAGCAGTTGAGGGAGGCATCCAGCCCCAGAGGGAAGGCCAAGGCCCCGTGCACCAATAGCTGTGAGGGGACTCCCCCTGTCTGGATGTCCAGCTCCGAGATCCCTTCCAGGAGCTGCTGCTGGTCCTGCCTAAGCTGCTGCCCACACCTGGGAGAGACATGGGAGACAGAGGGACACAGTCTGTTAAAGAACCACCAACAAGAGCTCCCTAAACAGAGAAAGAGAACATGGCTCCTTCAGATTCTCCTTCTTACCAACAGCATTGAGGATGTTAGCATGGAATACAATTTGTTCCATCAATTTCTAGACATACTCTTTCACTTGTTACAACTGATGGCATATCACTGCTTAATTGGCAGTGTTTGTTCTTCCTTAGTGACACATAAAATGCTGGTGCTTGTTTCAGTTGTTGTTGTCATTGATGAAACAGTGGAGAGGGAGATGGTGGCCTTATTTGCACATCTGAAGATCCACATTCTCCAAATAAAAAACCTGGGAATTCTTCCAATTTGGTTGGCGAAAGTATTAAATATTCTGACTTGAATTTCATATCTTTTAAAATTATTAGACATATAAAAAGTTTGGAAAACTAGTCTGTTTAGAGAAGGCAGTCCTACTTATGAATTTCCTAGGGCTTATTTTCTGCAAAGCAGAGCTATACAACACAACAAATTGCTCTCTCCATGAGACTAAGTGGAGATTGGAACACCTCGGAGGTTTGATTTATATAAACATTCATTTAAGAAGTCTATTTAAATCTGATGGTAGTATTCATGACTTTTTACTAAATGTGGTCAAATGTAATGAATTCAAAGAAGTTTTGTATTTCAAGAGTTTTTTCTTTAAAATGAATTTGTATATACAGCAAATGTCAAACCATAGGAGATTGGTTCAATATATTATGGTTAACCAAACACAGCAGACTGAATGATAATTAAAATATTTTAGATGATATTGGCTTAATGGGAAGTAAAAACTAGATTCCAGGATACTATTCACTAAATAAGTAAACTCCTGAAAAAACAATACTAAAAACCATAAAACAGACAGAGAAATGGTATCCAAATGATAGTTATCAAACATCTTCAGTGGTCATCTTGCCTAGTGGGTTATAAGTCATCTTAATCATCTTTAAAAACTTTGTTGTCTTGATTTTTTAAAAAATCAATACATCAATTTCATAATAAAATCAAATGTCATTTTTAAAGGAAATATTTTACTCATTTAAAAAGCAAAACATTACTTTTAAAAATACTTCTTGTACAGATAGTTTATCCTTAATTTCTTTTCAGCATGAAAATATAAAGGATCATATCTTACTTTTGTTATTACATTTTTAATCATGCAGATGTTGTAAGGATACAGGCATCAGTTTTGCTCCTGCCTCCCTCCCCATCAGACTCAATTCTAATTTGGGGGGTAATGACACTGAGCTACAAGACTTGATAATAAAACATTCTACTCCAAGAGTTCTTTTGGCTCCTGACAGGACCCTGCAAATCTCAACAAATGGTAGAAAACTCCCAACACAGCAAGCAGCAGTTAAACATTAATCACCCAGAGGTTCACACCCTTGGGTTGGAAACACACCCAGCCACTATTATCCAGTGAGAGGGTCCCAGCTTGGGCTCTGGATTTTGACAGGTCAGGGTGTGATCCTGCATCCTCTCTTGGCAGAACAGCCCCATGAAAAGTACTGTCAGAGTCTCCATTGACTCATTTACTCCTGAGAATATTAAATAAACACTTGTAATTTGGCTAAGGTAGTCCCTAATACACAGTAAATCTTTAATGGGCTAGTGATTATTTAGCGTACATAAATACATAAGGAACATTTACCTGATGATTAGGAAGTTTACACATGATAAACAGAGACCTTAATTCTATTGCTATGGGTTCAATTCATTGGTTGAAACCCAAACCCCCCAGTTCTCTCCAAATTCATTGGTTGAAACCCTAACCCCCCCCCCCCCCCCAGTACCTCAGAATGAGAACTTTACTGGAAACAGGATCATAGTAAAGTTAGGATAAAGTCACAGCAAAATAGAGTGGGTCCCTAATACAATATAACCAGTGTTCTTTTAAAGAGGAAGACCTGGGTACAAACAGGCACTAAGGAAAACACTGTGAAGACGAAGGCAGAGATGAGAGTGGTGCTCCCAAGAACCCAGAAAGGCCAAAGACTGCCACCCCCACATCACATGCTGGGAAGGAATCATGGAATAGATTCTTCCTCAAGGCACTCGGAAGGGACCAACCCTGGTGAAGCCAGGTCCTTGGGTTTCTGTTTCCAGAACCTATGACAGGACACATTTCTAGAGTTAAGCCACTGGTTCTTTGTCACATATAGCAGCCCTAGGAAACTAATACAGTCCTTGGCCAGGGCTTAGCCAAGCATAGCATCAACATAAAAACCTTCTATGTTCTATGTATTTTTCATTGATTTATCAGACTTGGTGGACCGAATGCGCCTCATCTCACACAATCTCTACCTGGGAGCTCTCTATGTTTATGAATCACATTGAAAACAGAACTATGAAAACAGAACCGTGCTTCTCTTAACCTGGAAATCCTTGGACAAAGACCTCCCTACTGAATTAGGACTTAGTGAGGGTAGATACTATACAATTTTCAAGAGGTTCATACACATTTACTTTTAAACGAGCAGCTTCCAATATGCTGTAGACGAAGTAGATTACACCACGCGTGAGCATAAGAGCTGTTGATGATATGAGGCTAACTTCCCCACCACCCTCCACCCCTGTCTTGGGGTCAAAGCAGCCAGTATCTGCCTGTGAAAATGAAAGTCAACTCACTCCACGGTTTGCCTCAGTTATGCAAACAGGTCATGCCCTTGGGGATAAGATGGGAGAGGATCTCTAGTTGGTCCCTGCCCTTGGTAGACAAAGCTGGGGTGTGCAGAGAACAACTCCCTTAAGGAGTTCAGTGCCTTTCAAGATGGATTTGAAGTTAAGGAACCTGCTGGGTCAGTCCAGAGGCCTATGACCAAGATTACTGGCAGAAAAGTCCACTAAAAACCTCCATAGAGACTTCCTTATGGGGGAGAAATAGGAACAGTTTGGGAGTTTAGAGTCCTGCTCCATTGGTCAGCTCCTGATGTTGTTTGAAACTCAGCCCTGTGGCACCACATGCCACAACCCAGAGTTAATTAATTCAGGGCTAATGCTAGGACAACAGGCCGCCCTTTCTGTTATAGTGGTTTGGGATATGCAATCATTCATATATTTTCACTAATTTATTTGCAAATATATGTTCATCTCTATTGCTTCACCCACCAAGCAGTGAGAATAAAGCAATGAATACAACCGGCAAGTTCTATGCATAGCAGGAACTATATATTTCGGTTGGCTAGACAGGCACTAGCAAGTGAACAGGTGAAGTATTTACAGCTTGTGAGAATGAAATTCTAGGGAATAAATGGAGAAATGTGGGCAAGAAAAATTGGAAAGATTGTCCTCGTTTTAATTGGGCTGTTGGTGGAGATTCCTCTGAGGAGGGTATTTGAGTTGAAACTGAATAAGCAGAATAAATTCGTCTTTAAAAATCTGAGAGAGCATCCAAAATAGGAAGAGGAATTCACAAACCGATTCCCTTGATATTGAACTACCAGTGGTCTGTCTTTATTTCTTTCTTTTGAATAACTCTATTCCAAATATCGTGATACCTTATTAAACAGGAAATCTAATGTTACCTATTGGGTTTTTGAATTAAGGCAATGTGTTGGCTAGCTTTTTGTGGCTGTAACCAAAATATCTGACAAGAACTGTTTAAATGAGGTAAAGTTTACTTTGGCTCATAGTTAAAGATGTTCCTTCCATGGATTGGTGACTCCATTGTTCTGGGCCTGCGGTAAGGACAGAACAACATGGCGGAAGGGTGTGGTAGAGATAAGCTTCTCAGCTCCTGGTAGCCAGAAAGCAGAGTGAGCAAGAAAGGCACCAGGGAAATATCAACCCCCAAGGAACACCCCCAGGGACCTACTTTCTCCAGCCACATCCTACCTGCCTATGGTCACCACCCAGCGACTCCATTCAAATTATTAGTCCATCAAATGGATTAACCATTCACTAGATTACAGCTCTCAAAATCTAATAATTTCAACCATGAACATTCTTGCACAAAACACAGGAGAGTTTGTGGGACACCACAAATCCAAATGATAAAAGAAAGAGATCTAAATACTTTAAGGATGTATAGGGATGAGTGCATCATTTATAGCCTTCTTCCCTTAAAATAGCACCCACTGAAAATACATAAATATTCCACAAAAAGGAAATAGTTATATAAGTTGGTGTAACTTATGTTATAACTAAAAATTCTCATTAAAAAGATTATTTGTAAAAGCAAAATTGTTCTTAAACAGAATATAAAGTACAAGTATGTAATCATAACTAGTTAAAATGATACATAAAGATAGATGATTTAGAATGTTCAGTTCCTTTAATGTCATATTGGGTTTTTTTTAAATAAAATAATTAACAAATAACAAAAACCAGCAATGTGGAAAATTAGTTTCATACACTGTCACCTGAGCAGTCACCACACTTCTGTCAGTCACATGAGTACAGACCTAAATTAAACACTCCCAGTGCCCAGAAGTGTGTGTGGATGTCTCAGGCAGTCATATATTTTACAGGAATGAGAGAATGGATGCCAGGTGCTAGAAAGCAGGGAAAACTGGAGTGTTGTGAAAATTCATTTCTGTTTTCTTTTTGTTGCACAAACAATGAAAACAACACAAATGATATTGGGTCAAAGAAAGATATCCTAATGTGACCTGGAGAGCATTTTCCTATAGTTTGAAAGTTGTAGGAAGGCAAAGAAGTAATGTAAAAAAATGTCTGCTTTTCAATTTATAAAATTTGGGGAGAACAAAAATGTTTGAAATAATCATTTTCAACTTATTACCATCAAGCATGTGTCCATATTTTATTATATTTTCTTCAAGTGTTTTGTTTTGTAACCTATATATACAATGTTTTAATGAATTTGTCACCAAATTTAACAGAGATTCATATCTTAATTTTGCCTACTATATCATGAATATTTTCCTTTTCTTTTAAGAGGTTTTGAACACAATATTATGTGTTCAAACATATGCTGTAACTGTAGGATATACCATACAT